CTAGAAAAAGAAATTGTATATAAAAATAGATGATATTTGTATCAAAACAATAGTCATTTACTTCTTCTCTGTTGATCTACTACACGTAGACGAGATTTAAAATATCTATCAATAAATGCTTTTGGTGCTGTTACTTTTTTCACTGTTAATAATTCAGCTGTAGCATAAAATTCTTCAGATGTTGTTGGTAGAAGTATATGATCCATTCCAGCATGTAATTTTTTTATTAATTCACTTTCATGTAGTTTTGTGGCTATTATGATAGACGAAATTAAATGTAACTGTGTAAGTTTATAACTTACGAGGTGGTGCAAGTAAACAAATCATACTAACATATTCTGGATATTTAACAGTAAATAAAGCAACAGTCGTACCACCTATCGATGCACCAATTAAACATAATGGATCAGTCATTTGCATTGTATCAAAAAACTAAAAAAAAAGATATTAAGTTTTGAATTAATTCAAATTATTTAATACCAATTTAAGTGTATCAACAACTTCATGGATGGTATGGTCATCGGCGTTTGTATCAGTAGTTTCTCCATGACGTGGTAAATCAATTAGAATAGAATGATAACTATCAGGTACAAACTATAAACAAATATATATATATATATTTCTAAATTAATAACAACTAACTTTTAAAACAGAAAGCCATGCTTCTTTATTAGAAGAAAATCCATGAATATATATCATACTTGGTTGTCCTGCTATAAATTTTCCTTTTTCATAATAACTAATTATTGTATTTGCATCATCGTTAAGCGATATAGATCGTTTTGTAACGCCAGCATCGATAGCAGCAATTCTACAAATAAAAACAGATTTATCTATGATAAAATAGTTTAAAGATTCAACTCACTCATAATATATTGTAAGAAGCCAATCATGCATTAGTATACCCATTGTAGTGAATAAAATAAAGTATGTATTAGCAATTGTATGTTTTATGAAAGAAACAAGTTTAATACTTATCAATAATAGTCCCTATTGCTTTCATACAATGTATAATGAAAGAAAATAAAGTGTCATGCTTCATTTATTATTACAAGTAGAAAAATATGCGAGTCTTATATACCACGTGTATGTATAAATAAAGTACAAATAGGTATAACCGACATTTTTTTTTTAAACTACGAATCACCACTCGATGTAGTACATTATGAGCAAAATAGGGGTCAATATTGGATGTATCTTTCAAACATACTGGTAATTTCTTAATATAAAAGAAACTTAGATAATATAAGAAAAATAGTATAAAACATTATTTGATTAATTTTATTTCGCAAAGCTCGATTTTGTCTTTAAATTTTTTTTATTATTATTCTTTTCATATAGAGTGATTCAAAGTTGTTAGAATATCATTGTCTTTACTTGCAAAGTCTTTCTTATGAGTTCTAATATAAAAGATTATACTTTTGATTCAACAGAACTCTCTGTTTTGTAAATTCAGTCGATTGCGTAGGAAAATTTTGTTTTCTTTCTAATTTTTACGTCCTGTTGATTATAAAAAGTCACATTAACCCTTTCACGGATAGTGGTACATATATGTATCACTTTTTTTATGCTGAGTCACATAACTATGATAAAAAGGAATAATACTACTGCCATAAAAATCGACAGATGTCGATCAGTCAAAATTCGCTCGTGAAAGAGTTAAAAGAAAAAAGAAATGTTGTTTTCAATTCTACATTTCTTTTATTTTCGTGAGTAACAAACATTTCGATGGCGTTGTCAGTCTTATCAGTCAAATCTACATGTGCTACCTGTGGCGATAAAAGTGTTGGTATTTTTAAATGTGAAGGATGTTCACAAAAATTTTGTCGAAAACATTCGAATGAACATCGAAATTTTCTAACTCATCAATTGGATAATATCGTTATTGAACATGATATTTTACAGCATACAATAAATGAGCAAAAAAATAAACAAACTGATCGTGATTTAATTGAACAGATTAATCAATGGGAAAGAGAATCGATTTTAAAAATTCAACAAGCAGCATATGAAGCACGTCAGCAGTTACAAAGATTGATTTCAAATCAGACAAGTAAATTAGAAAAAAATACCTTTAAATAACAGTAGTTTAATATAAATATATAGATATAATATCGTCAGACTTACATGATCTTGCTGAACGACTACGAAAAGCTCGTGAAGATGATGATTTTGTCGAAGTTGATCTTCAAGAATGGACAACCAAATTACAAGAACTAAAACTTACTACTCCTGATATTCACCGTACAGTTATTATTGATCAAGATCCATCTACAATACTTATTACAAAAATAAATATTACAACAATAGATCGAAAACCTAAAATGAATTATGAAACACTTATGGGTGTTTCCGGTAATGTTCAAATTCAAGATAATGGTCGTAGAGCGTTTCAACCGGATAATACAAATACTTCATATGTTCGTGGTAGTAAAACATATTCAAATGGTCAACATAAAATACGATTTACTCTAAATAAAATACAATTGAGTTCTCTATCTATTTTTGGAATTATTTCAAAAATAGAAACACTCTTAATGTGGCAATCATCATGCTACGGATGGGCTAATGATGATACTTGTTATCATGCTGGAGTTGGTTCTTCTAAATATATAACTACAAAGAATGACTTCCATGGCAAGAATTTTTCCACTATTGAACTTGTATTGGATTGTGATAATCGAATGATTCAATATTATAATGAACAAACTAAAAATACGCGAAAGTTAAATATTAATCTCGAAATATGTCCATTTCCATGGCAAATATTTTTCTATTTTCATTCTACTGGCGATTGTGTACAACTTTTATAAAAAAACAAACAAATTTCTTTTCGGATATTTTTTATTTTTTAAACTTTATGTAACTTTTCTTGATTCCATATCAAAAAATTAGTCACGAACTGTATGTATGTGTTGTCAATCATGGTAAACATAATACAATATATATTTAAAGTATTGTTTTTATCTACCATAGAATTTTTTAAATACCTATTTTGATATTGAATAGAATTAGATATTCTATTGTATTACATCTTAAAATTTGCTTTACAAATGGTTTTAAATTAGAATCAATTCAGCAAAGACTTGTAATATTTGAACAATTTTCAATCGTTATCTTCAGTAAGAAAAGTACACGTGTCCTTTGATAAAGTGTCATACCTGTATTTCAAGGCGGATATTAATACTAAATAAACAGTTGATATTCTATCATTTTTAAAAGATTAACTTATGAAATAATAATAATAAATGATTTATAAAGATTATTGATTATTATTTATTTCAAAATAACGAACACAAAAAAATTGCTCGTTTAAACAATATGAAAGTTAAGGTCTTGCTGGAAAACATAAAAAGAGGAAAACGTAGAAAAGAAACACGTCGAAATAAAAAGAAGACAAAGAGGAAAATATCGAACGAGGAAAACGTCAGAATGATTGATCAATTTTTTTATGCATGTTAAGTAGTATAATTATTAATTCATAAGAAAAGAGACAACTAATACTCGTTCTTTCGTCTTATCACGTAAAAGTTTTACTTTTATTTGATGTGGATTTACAGAATGAGTATATATACCATTATACGTGTAAATTTATCTGTTAAACCTGTGTGCATATACAAACCGCATTCTTGTTTAACACATAATCAATATTTTGTCGATTGATTTTTTTAATTAAAGTTGAATATGGCATTTTTATATATTACTTGTGGTTCACCTTTGTTCGATAAGGTAAATGATACTTCAGATTGGTGAATTTTAAGTGAACTAATTCCAGGCTCGAAGTTTGTTTCCATTTAAATAATATGTATATTTATAATATGAAAAAAATTTCTTTGTTGAGTGAAAATTAGTATATGCTGATTACAGGAGTGACCAATAAGAACGAAAACAATTAAATTTTTTGTACTGTAGTCTTTTAAAGTTTCCACGTTTTCCTACAACCCCAAAGTTAAAGCACGTTTATTGATCTTTCAAATACTATTATCTATTGGTTAGATTGATTTATTTTCTATTCATAACGCTCGTCATTCAACCATGATATGATAATATGTAATTTATTAGTTAATAAATTAATCTTTTTCTTTTCCTTTCGTACGTGGGTTTAATATGCAAATTCGATTATATTTTGATACAAATGCGAATCAATCTCTTTTATCTACCTTTATTATTCATACACGTGCGTTGGACTAATAATTTCTTTTATATTATCGTAAACGTTTTATTCATAATTATCTCCTAATAAATGTATACAGTTACTAACTAATATTCTCAACGCGTTTTTTTTCACACATTTTAACAAACATCATGTTCTAATTTGATTTAATTTATGTTTAAGCACCCACCCGTCTTTGAATGACATTTGGTAGAGTAGGAAACATTTTCTGATTATCATTAACTTGAACGATCGTTTTATCTAACTCCATTAGTTTTTTTTACGATGTATGACTATCTATATACGAACTTATTTTCACAACAACTCCTTAGTAGAATTTTCTTTCTCTTTATTTTGTCTTACTATATAAGTCATTCATCGTACACAACAACTGTTCTTGGTTCTGACCTTATTTTCTTAGTTGTGAGAATAACTATAGTGAAAAGAAGAAGAATAGAAAGAGAAATCGATCAACACGAAAACATTTTATTTCTTTCAACTATAAAAAAAAATATTTTTTAATAGATATGATAAATATAACACAACGACAATTACACCTATATCTTCTAATTGCATGCTATTTGTTCAATATAATACGTAAGTAAACGAAAATTTTTAACTAAAAAAATAATAATAGATATTAGTTGGAGGACCTGATCAACGTCGTTTAACAAAATATTTATTGGTCGACCGACAATACGATATACTTGAGAGACCAGTTAGCAATGATTCATTCACAGTACCTGTCAGTATCAATTTAGCTATACAACAAATCATTGACTTTGTAAATAAAATAAAAATTTTTATTTTTTTTTCATGTAATCTATTTATTTAAATGGAATAGGATGGAAAAAATGAGGTTATTGTCATCAGTGGTTGGCTCGTTCTTGTATGTTGTTTTATCTACATGGATTTGCTTTTATTTTTCATATATGTATATACATATTTATATAGATGTGGAATGATTATAATTTAATGTGGGATCCAAAAGAATTTGGTAATATTCAAACAATACGATTACCTAGTGCACAAATTTGGACACCAGATATTCTCCTATATAACAGGTATAGTTATTTATATTCGAAGAAAGAAAAACTAAAAGCATATTTTAATATATAGTGCCGATGAAAAATTCGATAGTACAATGAAAGTAAATGCAGTTGTACAACATAATGGTGATATATTATATGTTCCACCAGGAATATTCAAATCAGAATGTTCTTTCAATATTGCTGCATTTCCATTTGTAAGTTTCAATAATATTTATTTTTATGTATGTATTTTTTGTTTAGGATACACAATATTGCACATTGAAATTCGGTTCGTGGACATATGATGATACTGGTATGTTATTGAAAAAACTTTTTTTGCATATTATGTGCAATTACTCTTTTACATAGGTATTAATTTGACAGCTGAAAGTAATAAAGGTCAATTGGATGCATATATGAAAAGTGCTGAATGGGATTTAGAAGGTAGAGAATTGACATCATTTACTTATAATCAGTTTTTCTTCCAGATTTTTCTGCAGTTAATAATGCTACAAAATATGATTGTTGTCCGACTTTATATCCATTTGTTCTTTTTACTTTGAAAATTCGTCGACGTTCTTTATATTATTTTACAAATATCGTCCGTAATGAAATAATAAATTATACAATTTTCATATTATCGTTTCTTGTTTTGTAGTACCTTGTTTTCTTATAAGTTGTATGACAATACTTGGCTTTTTATTAGCACCAGATAGTGGTGAAAAATTAACTTTACGTAAGTAAAAATTTTGTTATTTAATTAATCTCTTTTTTAAATAATATATATTTAGAAATTACAATTCTTCTTTCTGTTGTTATGTTCAGTCTACTCATGTGTGAAATAATGCCACCAAGTTCAGCTGCTGTACCAATTATTACGAAATATTTTATGTGTATTATGGTTATGTCAACAATTTCTGTTATTGCATCAGTACTGGTAATATCAGTTCATTTTAGAACTTCGAAAAATCATAAAATGCCAATATGGGTATGTATAAGAAATTAAGAATTACTAAATAAAATTTGATTTTTCGAAAACTATCCTAGGCTAATAAATATATATGTCATTATTTGGCATGGTTATTACTTATGAAACGTCCTCGACATGATTTAAGTTGGAAAGCAATACGTCGTCGATGGGGTCCATTGAAACAAGAATCAAATACTATCAATAATTCAACTAGTAATCATCGATATAAATCTCCTTCTGCACCGTTATTAAGTAATGTTTTTGAATCACTACCAAACAATGTTATCGATGTCAATAGACAATCATTTCAACTCATAGAAGATCCAAATAAGGAACGTTCTGAGTCACCCATAAAATATTCATCAACATCAAATTCAAATAAAATTCCGCGTTCTTATCGACAACAAGATTTATCTAGAGAAGTTCATTTATTCGATACAGAAATGATTCGTTCTGAATTACGTGTGATTATTTCTCATCTTGCTATTCTTACACATCATACACATCACGAGGAAAAACTTGATAATGAATCTCAAGATTGGAAATTTATGGCAATGGTTATTGATCGTTTATGTTTAATATTTTTTACGCTATCCATGGCTCTTTTCACTACACTTACTCTTTTATCAACACCTAACTTTTACAAACTTCAATAGACAATGTATTTAATTGTGAACATATATTCATTATCTGCCTTATTAATAAAATGTGTCTTACTTCATTCAGTTTTTCTTCCATTTTGTTTTTGGATATATATATTTGTTTCAATGCATATTTAAAAAAAAATATTAATAATTGTGTCTCAAACTATCAAGTAAAATTAAATTGCAATACGCATAAATGAATCTAAGTCGCTTTTGATATTTGTTGCTCTAGACAGGATTAGATATGTACTTGAAACAGAAAAATATCAATAAAAGTATTCTAATCAATTATATTTCTCCGAAAAAAAACAATTTCACAGAATAATTAATCCCTAGTTGCTTGTTGTTTTTTTTTATTTTATTCTTTACATAAAGATTATATTTCAATTTATAACACATAAATGATGATCCTAAAAAAAGGTAAATCTCTCATTCTCTTGTTGTATATAAACATGGCATATCTCAATATTTCGAATCATTCTGGAAATAAAACTAATTGAAAATGGTACTTGGACTATTTTTTCTTACTGTCTTTGTCGTCAATGTCTTGACGATTTTTGGTCAAAATAATAATGTGACAACACATGTAGTTGTTACAAACACTACTATCGTTTGTCCATCGACTGATATTGATACTTTACATCAAGCAAATATCGAATTGAAGAAAACTATTATTCAGATGTGGAATGCTCTGAATGCTCGATTAGATATCTTGGAAAGTCGTCTTTCCTGTTTATCCAATTGTTCAGAGTCTGAAGTGAGTAATTCAACAATAACTCCTTCGATTCTTAGATTAGCAGAAAAAATCTATCAAAATTTAACTATTGATGGTAATTGGAGAATTCTTTATGATCAACCTTACAGCCATCGTACAACCAGAACTAACCTATTAGATGCTGCAAAATCATGTTCGAATCAAGTTCTCGTTGGAGCACGTCGTAATGCTACTATTCCAGAACTTGAATTAGCTGCTGTCGGACCAGTCAATGTTCTTCAACAACAAACTGTTGTGAACATACCAGTGAAATATGGTGATGTATATTGGTATTCGACGACACCTAAATCCTTCGGTTTCACTCCCAATAATATAGTTTTACAAGATTTCGCTGATACTAGTAATTCATTTCCAGCGTTACGTCTTAGCTGGCACTTAGATCAGTCTCATGGTGGCTACAGAGTCGGATCAAAAGTTGACCTCAATGACAATGCAATATGGCGAAAAGTTATTTATTGCTTGGATTAAGATTTTCAAACTACAATGAAATTAAATAAATCAATATAAGCGAATAAGAAGCTAACGAGTTTTTAAAATGTAACACACTCATCACAAGATATTAAATTTTTTTCTTTTTTAATTATTCTTTGGAAAAAAAGAAACACAATAAAGTTATTAAATTGATAAGTCTTAATGTTCGTTAATATAAAATATTATTGAATTTTTATAGCCATATTAACTGAGTCTTATATTGAGTATGATCATTTTATTGATAGAAAATGTTTCAAATCGATTGAAGTGCTACGTACAATTCTATATATTCGTAATTATCCAAACATCTTGAAGATCATCCGATATTGGTAATGATTACAATGCTAAAATAACTAGTATATATGTGTTTATACTTCCAACATCGACAATAAATAATGTGATTTTTTCGAGTCTCTTTCTTTCTTTTTGAAATTTAATGATTTGTGCCCTATTTCGTAATAGACATGATAAAGATCAGTATATTATTTCCATTGTCCGGACAAGTTTACTGATTCATGTACAGTCACTTTCCAATGAAATTAAAAAATAAGTACAAATAACTTCGTCATATGTTCTTTATTACTCAAAAGGATCTTTGGAAAAAAAATTTATTAACATACATGATGTGTATATCATATAAATATTAGAAAATTATTAGTTAATAGTTTTACTCTAACATTAACGATGTTGAAAATATACTATTGATTGTTTTATTATAGCAATACAATAGAACACAATAATATTATAGATAGGAATAACGAGTGTTGATAAACTAAGTAATGTTCCCATTATAGAAGCTATAGCATGTGAATAAAACTTGTGTTGACCAGATGTTAGTCTATACAGCTTATATTAACTTTATCGATAGTCTCGAATACACATATTGTGAATAAATTGTTCTCCTGCATGTTAGTTTTTTTTCTTTTGTTCTAAACAAGAGAAAAAAGTATAAAATATTTTTATTTTATTCATTAAAGTACACTACTTAAGATAGTTTTTCTTGATATAAGTACCTTTGTTATCTAAGGACGAAACGTTTTGTTTTTTTTATAATGTAATTCTAACTCTTAACTTTCATCTAACAAGTACAAATTGCATCACATCTTTATTATATTTTCTGTCTAGTTTAAAACTACGATAGGGTAGAGAAAAGATGGATACTTTAAAAGTAATCATAGAAGAACTATTCTGAAATAAATCGTAGATAACAAGAGTTTGCTCCATATAGTTGGTATAATCGTTCTGTTCAATTCTCATTTTTCTTCCGATGTCTAATCAGATTAAGATAGTACAACTTGGCTCTAGAAATTGAAATTTATTTTGAAAGTCTTTCATACTTTCGTAACTGATTAAACACGTTTTGATATTTTCTTATCTTCTAGACGAAATTATTTATTATTGGTGGTGAGAAAGTAAGAAACACACATTAAGATATTACAATGCCAACCAGCATGCCTTCATTCATGTCATTGGTATGTCTTATAATGGTAATTAATATAAATCGTATCAGTTTATCGTACACAATTCCATCAACATCTACTCAGCTATATGTTGTTCCATTTCCATCATTATTCGGTGTTAATGGCGATGGTTCACGTGCTCATCCGTTCTCATCACTTCAACAAGCACTTGATCATATTGAACTTAATTATTATCGTAGTACAGTTATGCGAACAGATATGATAACGATCAATTTATATCCAACACATCATTTTGTCAATACTATCTACTTTCGACAAGCTCACAGTCATACACGATTGACTACAATGAATGCTGAAGACACTGCTTTCTACAAAGACTTAGCTGTTGAAGATCACATTCATCGAAAATTATCAACTGCAAGTATTAGTGGTGGCATACCAGTTACTGGTTGGATATCAGTCGGTGATAATCTCTATAAAGCGAGGGTTACCACAACAACGTTTATTAATCAATTATTTGTTGATAATCGACGTATTTCTCGGACACGTCTTCCAATGAATCCATCTGAATATCTTCAATATGCAGCTCCATTACAAGATCCAAATCAAGCTCGATACGGGTTTCAATATGCTGCGGGACAGTTCGAATCTTGGCCATTAGATGATGCAATGGTAGTTGTATATCATAGTTGGACAACATCGCATCATTATATTGATAAACTTAATCTATCGAATAAAACTATTTTGTTTACTAATCCATCCAATAGTCCAATTGGAGCAGCTGTAGCACAAGGACAACGACGATTTCATGTTGAAAATATGTGTATATCATATGTTCCAAATTCATTTTGCTTTTCAAATGCAACAAAAACTGTTTATCTAATGACAGATAGTTCTTACGATCCAAATAAATCACAAATTATGACATCTATAAATGAATATGTTGTCGTACTTGCTGGTAATAGTAGTACTAATCCAATTGAAGATATTATTATTGATAATGTTGCAATACAACATAGTGCATGGAATATTGAAAGAACTCAACAAGCTGATTATCAAGCTGCTTCATTTCTTACCTCTGCTCCACTCTATATTGCAAATGCAACATCTATTATTATTACGGATGTTGAAATCAGTCATACTGGTTCGTATGGAATATGGATTAAAGAAGGAACAAATAGTATCAATATTATTAATTCATTAATTACTGATACTGGTGCTGGTGGAATTCGAATTGGTCAAATGATATCTCCAGTACCAACACCAACTACTTCTATTCATATCATATCGAATGAAGTTAGTTACGGTGGAAATGTTTTTCCAAGTGGTGTAGGAATAATTAGCCATCGTGCAGTTGATGTTATTATTGCTGATAATAGTATTCATCATCATCGGTATACTGGTATCTCAATTGGATGGGAATGGGGTTATGCTCCATCATATACAAGTAATGTACTAGTTCAAGGCAATTATATTTATAATATTGGACAACATATTCTTTGTGATCAAGGTGGTATTTATACACTTGGCATTCAACCAGGAACAATAATTCATGGTAATGTCATTAAGAATGTCTTTAGTTATGCTATGTATATGTGGGGTATTTATCTCGATGAAGGTACATCTCAGATTATTGTTTCTAATAATGTTGTATATAATACTGGTTGGGCATCTTTTTTCCAACATTATGGTGCTAATAATACTATTATCAATAATGTATTTGCACGTGCTTCACTTAATCCACCACCACATCCTGATGATCCCAAAACAGATGGTAATATTCATGTTGGACTCGCAGAAAATCATACATCAATTACATTCGAACGTAATATCGTCTACGATACATTTCAAGGAACTAATCATTCTGCTTACTTATCTGATCAAGATGCAATTGTATTCTTGAACAATAATCTGTATTACAATTCTAATGGAGCTGAATTATTATTTGGAAGACAACAAATATCATTCTCCGATTGGCAAAAAACTGGACAAGATAATGGTAGTATTATAGCAGATCCATTATTTGTTGGTGATGTCAATCAATGCGATTTTTTTACGATTCAATCCAATAGTCCAGCAGCAAAACTTGGATTTACAAATTTAACTAAACTTTCAAAATGGACTTCAGGATGTGATATGAATGATAAAATTGATAATAATAATCAATTTTACTATTGGTAATTGATATTCTTATTCCTAATATACACATTAGTTTGCCTTTCGTTTTTCTTTTTACGATTACGAACTAGCTTAGAATATATTGATTCCTATTATATAATAGATTGTAAACTTTATTGATCATTAAAAATAAATATTATTTCATAGCGAGAGATTTCAACTGATACTAGTTTAATTCTTTTAATCTTTCGAAACATATTTTTGATAAAAAAAACATTATGAAAGATAAGAAAGTTTTTAAGGAGTATAAAGTTCACAACTATTTAATGTATTATATGAAATATCTCGACCACCACATACAAATACTTCACCAATCGATGGAATTAAAGTAGTTGTAAAAGCTTCTCTAATTTTATTCATTGTTGCTGCTTGACAAGATAACATTGTTTTTAAATTAAAAATTTCCGATGGAACAATTGAAAGAGTATTTGAAAAACCATCTGTAATTAAAATATCATGATTATTATTTAATAAAGTAGCATGATGATCAAAGCGTCCATATTGTATGGTACCTTTATGAATAAATGATAAAGTTTTAATATCAAATAATTCCCAACTATTTATATGATATATATCATTATTTTCTCCACCAATTATTAGAAGTTGATCTTTAGGAAATGGAATATAAGTAGCTGTATGTCGAGCTCGTGCCATTGACATTGTTATATTTGGTAATATTTCAAACATATTTGTTTCTACATCATAAAATTCTATTGTACTATATGTATTTCGTCTGTTATTCTCATTATCTCTTCCACCTATAATAAGAATCTTATTAATTGTTGGTATATATGTTGCTGTATGATAAATACGTTGAACCATCATTGTATTTACTATTGGTATAAAATGTGTCCCATTGAATAAATCACCAGTAGAAAGAATAGTAGATGAATAATTATGGCCACCAAGTAAAAGAACTTTATTATCTAATGGAATGACTACAGATGTATGATATCGTCGATTTGTTAACATTTCAATTGATGTTATTTCACCTGATATTGGATCTAATAATTCTGCTGTAAGTTGTTCTTTTGGTGTCGATAATGATGTTCCACCAGTAAGAAGAACTAAACCTAATAATGGTAATAGATCAGCAGAATGAAGTGCACGTTTAATTTTCATGGATCTATGTAGATTCATAACAAATGATTGATTAGAAATAATATATTTTTGAATAGTATTAAAATAGATAAATTCATTTCGAGTTCCACCGGTAATAAGAACAGAATTATCTTGTGGAACATATGTACTTCTATGATACATAAGATATTCAAACATATTTCCAACTTTTATCCATTTATTTTGTAAATCTATGAAGAATAATATGATTCCTTTTAGAAAAAATAAAATATTTACTAGTAGAATTAATTTGACAAGTATTTGGTGGTTGTGATGATGTTGTAACTGAATGAACGGTTGATGTCAATGTTGAATATTCATCATAATTATCTGTTGATGAATTTTCTAATGCAATAAATGAATTATTTTATTATCTATCTTTATATTTCCTGAGATATTTACCAGTATATGGGAAATTAATAATTGAACATAAATTAAATTCAATAAACTCATTATCTATTTCTATTGTAAAATATGTTATATTTTGAAGTTGTTCATAAATGTTACTATATAATTCTTTTAGACATGATTGATTTTTGCATAAAGATAAGAATGAATGTTTAAGATGGAATTGAAAAGTCAATAATGTATCATTAATATTTGGAAAAAAGAAAGTGCATTGTGTACTAAAATAAATGAATATTTTCATTTCAATTAATTATACAAGAAAAATTTCTACAACATACGGTCGTTTATCGAATGCTTGCTTAACTATATTTTGATATTTTTTTTCTAATTGTAAAATATTTTTTGTTGGTAATTTAAGAGCATTTTCCAACTGAAATTATTTTAATTTTCTTATGAAAGAAAATATTTTTTTTACTTACATTTTGTGATATTTGTTTTGAATTAAAATTAAAAATTGGAGTAGGTGAATTAATATCATTAACTATTATATATGTTATGTTAAATGATGGTTCTACTAAAAAAACACATAATAGCAATTATTTATATAATTCAAAAACATTCACCAATATGTATTGCTTCATTATTATGTTGATGGATAGTAATGCTACGAGTCGAGATAAGAACAATTGTTATGACACTTAAAGTAAGTAGAATGATGAGCAATCCACCAGATATAAGAACAGGATACCGCGATGACCTGAATGAAATAATTAACAATTAGATACATAAGAGTTTTATTAGTATTTACCAATTTGACTTTATCAAATTAGTAAACCATGCCATTGAATATTTTTTAAAATAATAATCATTCATTTAGTATGCCAAAGAATGAAATAAGTACAAATCTAAATAAATAAAATCATCTATGTTTAAGATTATTGTTTCGATTTTTTTTAATGTTTAGGCAGCTATCGTCTTACGCGGTATGCATCAATGATTGATAGAAGAACATCAAAATACCTTGTATATAATAGATGGTAAACAAAAAAACAGTATAGTATTATTATGTGCGTATTAATAGCAAACGAGAAACAATATATTGTTTTTAGTTAGAGTGTATTTACGTATAAAAGCTGTTAAAAATACGACGACAAAACTCAAAACAATATCAGAGTAGTTTCTAAACAAAACTATTGAATTTGATAATTTATTTCTCAAATTCCTTGGTTTTTTATTTATATCAGTCTTTGAAGTACAATCAACAAATAGTTTCTTAACATTTATTCGACGATTTTCATGAAATATAAGTTTAAAATACTCGATAGTATATATTAAAGCTCAGAGATATATGTGTTACTAAATTTTTAATTAATAATTCATCAGTAATCTGAATTTATAGTTTATCAAATATATGAAAAGAACATTAGATCCTTGATCAATTCACCAACTATTTAAGTTCGATTTCGTTAGAATTAGTAGAACCAATCGATTGACGGTACTTTTACTGACATTTTGCTTATTTCTTTTCTATCCTCATTGAAGACTGTATTATCAATTGTCCTTTTCTATTGATTTACATTTATCATAACAGCTCGTATTAGACTTGTAGGATACTCTACAACAAACAACAACAGTTAGGACAATTATTCAAATAATAATCACGTTAGTAAAGCTACTTGAACGAGTGTCTCCATGCTAGTACGTCGTTTATTATTAGAAACAGTATTTTTCTGTAAAGAATCTTCGAAGAAATGGATACAAACATTCGAATAACTTAATTATGATGTTTTTCGTATTACTTCTCCAATCATTATCGACAAGGATTCAATAAACCTACTTGCATCTCCAGTATATATATGTATATGTCGATGAGATAATGGAGCATGCAAAACTTGAAAAAGATTTGAAGAAAATTGTTTTCGTATTATCTGTATTGAAGCTAATAGACATATTACTATGAGTACTAATTCTTTGCACTCTTTAACAGTAAAATATAATAATTATGTGTTCGAAAAGTTTGATTAATATTAATTGTAGTTTAATTATGTATTTTTTTTCTTACAATATGCTCGAGATCATAGTTATTTATTCAGGAGCTGTTGCATCACCTTCACCAATACTTTTGTCCATAAGAATTACATCAAGCCAACGATTAAACTTCCATCCATAAGATTTCAATGTGGCAACATGAGAAAATCCGGCAGCACGAAGTAAATTAATAGAGCGATTGTTTGCTGAATCGCCAATGACACCAATCATTTTTCGAACACCAACTAATCTGGCTTCTTCTAACAAAGCATTCAACAATTGCCGACCAAAACCTTTACTACAGACATCTTTATCAAAATAAATTGATAATTCTACAGCGTACCGATAAGCAGCACGTGGTTTAAACCACGTACAATATGCATATCCAACAATTGAGTTATCATCTTCTGCTATGAGATAGGGTAGATTCTTTTTCAGAACATCATCTCGTCGACTTGCCATCTCATCAGCTGTTGGTGGTATAGTTTCAAATGTACTTGTACTATACAATACATAATAATTGTAGATTGCAGTAATAAATGGAATATCATCATCTCGACTTGGACGAATTGTTAGCATTCTAGTTTATAATTAATCTAAAATTATTACACGAGGAATTAGTGTAATGCAATAGAATCGATAAATTTCATGTAAAAAAGAATAGCATTCTTTCATTTTATCGGCTTCTAGTGACGTGTAGAAAAAAAAGATAAGTTAAATTTATCTTTCTCCACGTGTTAGCCAAATAATGTAATCAAAATAGATACTCTGAGCCGTTATAAAATGTGAAAAAGAATCACCTTGAAGATGGATGGGTAAGGGTATGAATTAAAATTTAATGGTTATGCTGGACCATTAAATTCTCATGCATGTCGATTCTTGCGAAAATTAACTGCCACAGTCAATAAAAATTACTATTCATTTCTTAAATGGTTTCATTGATTAAAATTTTGTTGTAGCTTTCGTTAGCTGTTCTGCTTCATATATTCTATATAATACATTTCAAAATGAGGCGGAGTGTGTGTGTGGCTTTGGATAGCTGCAAAGGTAAATTCCACTTTCGCTGAATGAATTTATCACAGAAAACCCATACAAATTACATATAATCAATCTTATAGACAACAATTGTGTTTTGAATACTTTCTATGTAAATACGCAGCGTCAACCTAGTCTTTATGCTTTGTTTGATGTTCATAGTTTATAACTCAATACATAAATGAATGAAAACAAAGAATAGTACACAAAGATCTTGTGTATAAAATTTTATATTAATGTTTTGCCTTATGAACATCAATAGATAATTGTAAAATTGAATTCATTTTATCAACAAAACACAAGAGAATTTTAATTTTTAATGGATACAAGCATGTTTTGAATCAAGTAACAACGAAAAAAAAATATTGGCGCTGTGAAGATAGTAATAGTTGCAGAGCATATATATACGTACAACATCTGAAGATATTTACTTAAAGCATAACAAAGTTCAACACAAATATATTGTTTTGATTCAGATGAAACTGCAATTATTAAATTAGCATCAAAAATTCGTTCTCGAGTTACAAATGAACATTTATCTGCCGGTTTCATTTATAAATTCGAGGTAGCGCGTCTCAAAATTTACACAAAGTCAAGTGAGTATTGTACCAGCGTTTAAAACATTAATTAATTTTATGATTTGAAAGTTTTTTTATGATTTACATCTTATTTTGAGTCAACTAGTTCAGCATATTGTTTCGGAGCTTATAATATTATGAACATTTTTATTTTTAGAATCTGCATCCTATAAGACACGTGCGAATGCAATTCCTACAATACCAAAAACATATCGATTAAATGGAAGTTGAGAGAAATATTTACTTGTTGATTAATACAATACAAAATTTGATCGTGTTTTAATATACTCGTCGAATCAACAACTTCATACTCTTTCAATTCAAAAGTCATTTTTTGCGACGGTACATTCATTACTTCTTCACCACCATAACTCCACCAGATTTATACTATACATGTTATATATGAAGATGAATGTAAGTAATTTCAAACTATCTCTTATCATTTGTACAATGTACTCATAAAAACAATGAAACATACGGTTTGACTATAGAAATATTAAAATTAGGTGCTGAAAAAAGGAACAAAATTTTTACACTTTCTTTAATCATGTCTAACTATGAAGCTGGATTCATGAAAGTAACAAAACAAGTTGTCAGTGTGAGGATGTTGATGTAGGTTTACATATAGGAGACACCTAGAACCCACACCCTCATGTGCCGAGAGAAGTGACGGACGTCCTTTTGAATGACACTCTCTGTATTTTTTCTTATTTCGTATTGTATGTTAAATAGTTTCATTTGGATATAGATCATAGTCGAATAAACATCGTGTCGCAAAACACTACACTATGCTTCTCTATTTGTCAGAAAAGTATAGATGCGTTGATAGCTTATTTACATCAATGCTTATTAAAGTGGGAGAGCTTGGATTCTCATCTTCCACATAATTCCGTTACGCTTCCCCCAAACCAACACCCACACCCACCCTAAAAAATCAATTTCATGATAATAAAAATATGAATGATTCTCCTGTGAACTATGAGAAAGTTATTTATGATGATAATGAAGAGCCTCTATGGCTAATTAGTGTCAAAAAGAACATGAAAAAATAATACATGATTTGGATGAAGAAATTGCAGAAATGAAAAAACGTATTGAACAATTACACACACAAGTGAATAATGCGTCAATTAAACGTGATATACTTCAACAAAAACTGAATAATAAAATAATGGAGTATAAAACAACCAAACAGTATGTAAAAACGAAATTTTAAAAATATAAGGCAATTTATATTTTAGAAATCGACTCAAGTCTAAAAGAAATCAGTTAAAACTAGTGAGCAATTATAAAAAAACGAAACAAAAACAAAACTTGTAAGTGAACTCAAATCTTTATTTTGTTTTTGATATAGAAAAAACGAAACGTATAAATTATCAATAATTCATAAATATTTTAAATATAAAGAAAATTTTATACTTTATATTTAAAAATAATTCTAAAGTATATGCATAAATTACAGTTTAGATATAAAGCATTTTCTATTGGTTAAAATGTATTTAATTAGGAATTAAATTAAATAATTTTATGTTAATATTTCATATCAATAAGATGAACAGGAGGAAAACGCTTTCAAATGTATTTATTCTCTTTCTCGTAGAGAGGAGTCCAGTAAACATAAACTGTTTGTTTGCTTGTATGTCCGCAGGGTCAAAAAAACATTGAAAATCAATTTTTTGAAAAACAGATTTGTAGAGGTTTTTCGATGCAGAGACTTCGAATCTGATGAGTATTGAGTAACCGCGTGGAAGGGGTGGACGAAGAGAAATCAAAGATCAAAAAAATATCGAAAATCAATTTTTCACTGTTTTTTTCAGTAAATGTGAAGAAAATGCATTTCTACGAGAAAGAGCTAAGCGAGTCCTCGGATAAGCGTTACTTGTTTCTTAATAAAAATAAGAAAAAATGGGTTGCATCTTTACTATAAATCTAGTTTTTTCAAGTTCAACATTTTTCTAACAAATTCAATGGCTAGCTGTATTCCAAGTATTGAAACCAGTGAGCAATATTATATTTTCAACAATAGATATAATACATTTTTCAGTTTTGCCTAGCTGTATAGACAATCATGTAATAGATGTTGCTAGTCTAACAACATATCCCAATTTCACACGTTTCCAATGGTCCAATTCACCACATCCTTTGTCATCGATCCATTCGTCATCTACATTATCGTCTCTCCAGTCATTATTGAAAGCAACAACGCCACCACCACCACCACCACCACTATCATTACCTTCTTTACTATCATTATCATTAATACATTCTGTTGCTGACAACAAGCAAGATGGAGTAATTAATGACAATGTAATATGTGAACACATGTATTGGTATTCACCACCATTATCGATGCTCAACGAAACAAAACCGTTCAAAGATCCTTTATTTGATTATTTATGGACCATGCAGAATGAGGATGAATTTTATTCTCAACCAATTGGTGATCAATTAACTTGTCTTCGTTGTTCAAAACGAAGAAATAAAAGAACAATTAGAAAGTTTTTTTGTATTTTGCTATTAGATTTTTTTGTAATTGTTTTGTTTGAATTTATATTTTCCTTGTTATAAAAGAACATTTTGAACTATATTATTTTGTCGAAATATTCTAGATTATAAATGATAAATCATCGTATACATAACTGTGAAGAAAACAGTCAACCAATATTTTCAATTACTTTGTCATCAGATGAAGATAATGAAGTTATCGATAAAACGAAACCGCCAGCGATCACATCAGGAACTCAATTACAACAACAAGAAGAGTCAGCATCGAAAATAGATATTTCACCCGAAACAAAAACAAAATGATAATAAAACAATCATCATCAAGAACATATAATATTCTTCTCTTTCTCCTAGAGAAGAGTCTTGCAAACATGAATTATCTGATTGCTTGTATGTCCGCAGGGTCAGAAAAAGATATTTCTTGAAGTTTTTCGATGTGGGGAATTCAAATGTGCGCCTCATTTGCTCAGACTACTGAATAGGATGAGAGCGTGTGCTAAGAGTAATGAACAACAAAGGAGAGCAAGGTTTTCATTTGTTTTTCCAGTAAATGCGAAAAGGATGTATTTGTACGAGAAAGAGCTAAACGAGTTCTTGGACGAGCGTTACTTGTTTATTTATATATACACTTCATTCAGTGTGAAACCTGCCTAAGATGAACACCTCATTCAATGTACACTTTTTGAACAGTCCTATGAGCGTTCGTATTAAGGAGATTTCATATTATATGCAATTTCGTAGTATAGTATAATCAACTATCACAAATATCACTATAAAAATGCACCTCATGAACATCGTCACCAGCTCTCAATAAAAACCCAATTCCAATTATATTGTTACAATATATAGCACAAATAAAATGACCGTTTCATTTATATTTCATCACCGTAATGCACAACACAGAAAGTTATCCAAAAACTCATCAATAGTTTTATAGTAGTAATCAGTATATCGGCGATACCAGGATTTGTAACTTTCGCACTCTTTTGTTCCGTTCAATGAACTCAACGATATCATTCCTGAGTTCCCGACTGACTGTATTCACGTCGAGATCTAAGATGGTTAGTGTCTGTACGAAAAAGAGCAGATAGATATATTAAATAGATGAAGAAACGAATGGTGATTACCGTATTAGTTTGTAATGCATCTGCTATATGCTGTGCTCCAACATCTCCGATATCATTCCACTTGAGATTTAGTGTGGTAAGTGTCTGTATAACAAAGTGCAGGTTGATATATGAAATAGATGAGAAAGAGAATGATAGTTACCGTATTAATTCGTAATACATCTGCTAAATGCTGAGCTCCAACATCTCCGATTTTATTATTATATAAATCTAATGTGATAAGTGTCTGTATGAAAAAGTGCAGATATATATATATAAAATAGATGAGGAAAATAATGATAGCTACCGTATTAGTTCGTAATGCATCTGCTATATATTGTGCTCCAATATCTCCGATCTTATTGTTAAATAGAATTAATATGGTAAGTGCCTGTATGAAAAAGTACAGATAGACACATGGAATAGATGAGGATGAGAATATTAATTACTGTATTAGTTCGTAATAGATCTGCTATATGCTGAGCTCCAACAGCTCGGGTTTCATTTATGGCGAAATTTAATGTCGTAAGTGTCTGTATGAAAAAGTGCAGATGGATATATAAAATAGATAAGGATAAGAATATTCATTACCGTATTAGTTCGTAATGCGTTTGCTAGATGCTGTGTTCCAATATTCCCGAGTTGATTCCATTGGAGATCTAATTCGGTAAGTGTCTACATTGGAAAGTGCAGATGAATATATGAAATAGATGAGGAAAAGAAGGGTAATTACCGTATTATTTCGTAATCCATCTGCTAGATGCTGTGCTCCAACATCTCCAATCCCATTGCCACCGAGATTTAGTGTAGTAAGTGTCTGCATGAAAAAGTGTACATGCATATAGAGAATAGATGAAGAGGCACAAGGAGTTACTCTGTTATTTTATGAGATGTTAGTGAAATCTTGTAAAGAAGGATGTGGATGGAAGAGTGCGATTTGTTGTTTTTTCCCAAACCTTCAGGCCTGAGAGTCGAAAAATTGAGGAAAATATTATAGGAAAGAATGAATCAATCGCTTCATTGCGGATGAAATTCATGGTGGGATACTACTCAACATATTCGTCTGTTGTTCCTGAATTTTCCAGAAGATTCAATTGTCTTCAGATTGTTTGGTGTTGTTATTGCGATCCCCCGGTCATATTGATGTTGTCTGTTGCAGTCTCAAGTCAATGATTTCGATGATCGGTTCCTATAGTACCTGATCTATGTCTTATCGGAATCCGATATTACTATAAAACGCGTATCTAGTGCTTATAGAAACAATACTAATGAAATTTGTAGTAACTGGGTTTTAGCTGACGGAATCTAATGTAATCTTATATCCAGAGTCGCATCGAATTTTGTCGAATGGTCAGATCTTATGGAGTCTCACTAGATCTGTTACAAGTTTTATTAATCTACGCTCATCCACTCTCTGACCTTATCAATGTCTCTTGAATTTCCTTAGTTGTCTTTGAATAGTAGTTTTTTGGTTTGTGGTACTGCGGTTTGTAGCTGTGTAAGTGTTTAAGATCTATAGTTGTAATCTTTAAGTGTTATGACATTTATTTATTCTAGCATCTGCCGTTAATTCAATCGAACAACTACCTATTTGAAGTAATATATATTCAAATGAATTGATTTATCTCAACTGAAATTCACGTGAAGGCTTCAGCTTCTGGCAACAAATCAGTATCAATGTAAAAGATGTGTGAATAAAAGTATAGATGCACATGTAAAAGCAATTTCTTCTTTTGTTTCTCTTGTAAATATTGCGCATAGGTGAGTAAAAATAATATGAAAGCAGTGGATTGTTTAGAAAAGAATGAAAAAAAAGATTACTTCGATGTATATATTCTCATTTCTTTCATATGACTTTGATGTTGAAAACGACTTTTTTTAGAAGATTGATACTTGCTAAAGTAGTATGCCTGATCATTATTTTATTCAGTGATATCTTCTCAAATATATGGACTGTAAAGAACGAGAAACGATTCGAGGATAGACAATCATAATTAAAAAACGGTTTACCTGATATCGGTGGTAGCTATCAACGATTGTAGTAAATCGTTGACAGACATTTCGCATTAAGCACAGCATTGTCCGGTCACTCTGATGATCCAGAATTCGATAGATAATTTCTACCGGTAATGTTAGAAAAGTAAGAGGTATTTTATTCGACATTGATTAAAATTGTTTGGATGATCTTATGTGCCGTTTTATGTCGGTAGAATGAAGTGTGTTTTTTGCTTTACTTCTTTCGTTTTACGTGAGTTTATATTTGTGATGTGTCATAGATTTCTCACAGTGATGAAATTACTTGTTTAGAGAAAGAGAAGGCAGAAAATCAATGTCAATGACAACATCGTAGTAACCAGTAAAAATCAATGCATTTGTTGAGTAAGTTGTTATGAGAATTTGATATACAATAGATAAGAATATTTTTATGTTAATTTGATTAAATAGAGTCCGAATGTGACATTCTTTGAATTTACTTGTTCCTTACATTATATTTGACTATTTCACAATAAAATTAAATGAAGACATAGTGTAAAAATGAAACATAAAAGCGTTATTTGTTATTTATGTGTTTTATAGGTTGCATGAAACAATATCATGTTGATTATCAATTTACTACAAATATCTATAGTCAAAAACTACAATCTAATATATGAATCGAAGCAAGAGAACACTATACTGAACATCATAGTTGAACAAGAAACACAAGTGTAAAATTTGAATGTTTAAATCCGATGGAGTATTTATTTAAAATTCTTGCAGAATTTGATCGAAAAACCGAAAGAATTAGAAATGTGAACTGTAATATGATTTTTAAAAATTCGTTGGATCAGTAATCTCGAGAGTAAATTAATAATGAAGCGCTCCAAATTTCAGAAACTTCTCGCATGTTCTCTCTCACAGGATTGCAGCTTGCCTATTCTTAGTCAAATTTTAAAGAACATGCTGAAAATTGAATTCCAGTATATTGAGAAATCAAAATTATTTTCTCTTATACAATTTACTTGTATTAATCAAACTCTTTGAAATTCATAGTGATTTCATATAATGAACATCGAATAAAATCAATACTATTGCAGCCAGATGCTGTTTAACTATTAACAAAAGAAAACAAATTTTCACATTGACAATATTTTTTATTTACAATTCCTTATCTATATGTATTCGGTTAACGAGATATCACACTAGAATAGTTTTGCAACAACTCCTATGACTTCTTCGTGTTTTTTCAAAAGCCTTTCTTTCTGCGGTCGGTAAAATATGAATTGCACAACCATAATTATCACCAAAAACATACTATTCATTTTTTAAGTTTCTCATGTCAGTACTGAAAGGTGATACCAAAGCACTAATTTATCGATTATGTGAATATTTATCAACATTTTACAATCCAAGACTATACATCCCTTTTCTCCTCTTTTTTTAAATAAGAATCCTCTATTTTTGCACATGACTTTCCTCTTTTTCTATTAAGTGTCGATGGCATGCCTGGCGGCAATAAATTATACGGCAATATATCATGTAGTTCATATAAAACCATATGTCTCTTTCTCTATTGATTAGTATATAAATAAAGTATCAGATAAATACATTTATCGCTTTTTGACATATCAGACACGATACTTTGAGCATTATGGCTACATCAAATTTAACTATTCATAATTTATCGAAAGATA